TTTTTTTTGAGTGCAATAAGAAAAGCCTAGTATTTTGAATTTTATTTTGATGTTATTCTAAGATTTTCTATTAAAATAAAGTCAGTAATGACATTTTTTGCCTTCTCTTTTTGTCTGAAAAACTATCCAAAAGTATCGAAAGTATCGAAAGTATCGAAATACATTTTGGTACCGGTACCGGTACCAAAATGTTGGTATCGTGACAACACTAGCACATTTGTCTTCTTGTCGACCAAGGCTGATCACATATTCATGCACCATGTCTTAGCAGTCTCTTCCAACGGAGATGACGCCTGCAAGAGTGACAGAAAGTTATGTTAATCAGCGGTTTGACACGAAAAGGTTAGGAGATGCAAGTAAGGAGGGAGTGCCTTATGAAAACACCTGAGCCTTGTGCCTCAGCAGTAAATGTGAAGGAAGGGTAAAGCGATACTCTCAGTGAGAATAGTGTGCATTATCTATGCAGTTAGATCTGCTAACCAATAATGTGTTGTTAACACACTAAAATAAATGTATGTATGTATTTAGTTATTTATTTAAATTGATTTTGTTAAACGGAAATCTCTGTAAATTGCGCATGCGCAGCGGGCGGAGCCTGCGGAGGTCCTGACGGGAAGGTCTTTTTGTTTGGGCTGCAGAGAGATTCGACGTTTGATTCCCCTGTTAACAACCGTTTTTTATCTGCATTAATTTCGGTGAGTATTTGTATTTTCGTCTTCTCTGTGTTGTATCGCACCTTGATTTTCTCGTAAAGAGCGTAACATGTTGGGTTGCCGAATAAATGATAACGTTTTAACGTGAGAATGTAGCCATAATGGGCGCAGTTGGAGGGCGAATTTCGGTTTACTCCAGTTCGGATAGTTAACATAGCAGTACCCTCATTACAGCCCACGTACTTGAACACTCGACATTAGGTCAGAGTTTGTAATGACACTTCACCAGCAGGTTGCATTTAACGACAGGCTGGCTCATCACAGTGGTTGTGAGTGTGTAAGCAGTGGTTTAGTAATTAATCAAAGATGGTTAGCTAGCCAGCTAGCGGGCCCAGCTAACTAGCCCCTGGCTCGGCGCATGGTGAGGCCTTAAATTAGCTAATGCTAACTTATAATTAGCCAACTGTATTGTAGGGAATCCCTCATATCTTTGCCGATATCTGTCCTTGGGCATTTACAATATTTTCTGCTTAAGGATCACACTTGTTATCTCTGATAGAAGTACCACATCTAAGTAGTTAGACTCTGCTCCCACCAGCTGCGTTGTATGTCCTCATATTGTCTGTTTGACTTGTCTTCCTTGTGTTGTAATCATTACAGCAGCTTTGTATAGCTTGTTTCCGGTAGTAAGTGTTTTGATGTCAAAATCTAAGCTTTGGCTTTAATGCACATGATATATTGCCGAATCTTTAAGATAATAGAATTCCGTTTGAACAAAAGAGGTCTTAACCGCGTTTCGTTTACGTCAGTCACATATTGTGTCCTGTATCATTGGTTGTGTTTGAGTGGCAAAACAATCCCGATAACCCGGTTTATTGTTCGTACCGGAGGCTGTTTAATCCTATTTGCAGATCTTATTATCCCTACTTAGACTGTAAATTGTGTTCAGGGTGGTATTAAAAAGGTCCTAAACTGAGAATTTTACGTTCAACCCTGGAAAAAGACAAATAATTCAGTGCTGCAAAATAAGATACCTTAAACTTGAAAATTTTATTTATGGTTTGTTTGTTTATTTCCATATATATTTTGCTACAGGCTTTAATGTTTGTCAAACTGCAGTTGTATAAAAATAGTTTAGAGTAGTGAGCTCACCCATTTAAGGGAACATTGTGTGCTGTTCACTTATGTTAATGTCTAATCTGGTCAGTTTGAGTAAAGATTAACTCTCGGTTTGATCTTTTCAGAGTGTCTTTTATGAATAATCAAAAGCAGCAAAAGCCAACGCTAACCGGCCAGCGTTTCAAAACGAGGAAAAGAGGTCAGTGTTGGGCATTATTGCATCGTTTCTTGGGTTGCTTGTATATACACATTTCTTGTCCCTACAAGGGTTTTTGTTTTTGACTCTGACATGTATACATTCTTCTCTCAGATGAAAAGGAGAGGTTTGACCCTACTCAGTTTCAAGAAAGTATCGTACAAGGTTTGAATCAAACTGGCACTGATTTGGAAGCGGTCGCAAAGTTCCTTGATGCCTCTGGCGCCAAGCTTGACTACCGCCGGTATGCAGAGACACTCTTTGACATCCTGGTGGCCGGCGGCATGCTGGGTGAGTCATTTAAAGAAAAGGGTTGTTAAAATGTGTATATTTTTAAAGTTTTGGCAATGCCTAGAACAGTGCTTCTCAATTATTTTCTGTTCCGAGCCCCCCCCCCAGGGGGGCGCGCCCCACTATTTGAGAAGGACTGGCCTAGAAGAACAGAACAAACTGTTGAGCTGAAATTTTTTTCCTAGTAGAGTGCTGACATTAGGGGTGGAGTGTTGAAGTAAAGGGCAGCAAGAAATGCATTTAGAATTATTGTGCTATATTTTACTTGTGCACCACAGCATTTCAAAGAAGTATAAGGAAAACCGTTTAACTTGTAAACTAATAAATATTTACACTTTTATGCCTATGGCAGATACAAAAGTATTTTAATCTGCTATGTGTAGTTGGCATTTAGAGGGTGATTGGAGGAAAATAACATTTTATATAAATGTGATTATCAGCCGGAAGCTGACAGCCAATTATTAAAGCATACACTTGTTGTTTTTTGGTTTTTGTTTTTTTAAACGACCTGTTTTTTTTTTTTTTTGTTTTTTTTCTGTTCCACAGCCCCAGGCGGGACTCTGTCTGATGACATGACCCGCACTGAGTTCTGCCTTTTCACGGCACAAGAGGACCTGGAGACAATGCAAGCATACGCTCAGGTAGAAAACATGGCCGGCCACTGTTCGGATCGGTTTTTAAGCACTTGTGAAATGTCAGTCATTGTTGATCTACATGTCATTTGTCATTCAGATTAGGTTAAAACACTCCAGCAGTCCTGGAAGAACATTTGATTCTTTGTATGTGTTTGGGTTCATAGGTTTTTAACAAGCTGATCAGGCGTTACAAGTACCTGGAGAAGGGTTTCGAAGAGGAGATCAAGAAGGTCGGTGTCTTTGCAATCTTCAGGATCAGATTAACTGTTCCACATATCTGTTGCAAGTTTATTATCAACAGTGTTATCTATGAAAACATGTTCTTAAGCAGATTGTTTGGCAGCTGCAGTTAATAAAGCTGGAGCTAAAGCCAAACCTGCAGGGTTGTAAACAGTTTAAATTTGGTCATAGTCCAGCAGATGCTGCAGGATGACATATCAGCCTCTTGATTTGTACACACAGCGAGCCTGTATTTGTTTGCCTTCCTGTGTTGTGTAGTTGCTGCTGTTTCTAAAGGGGTTCACTGAGTCTGAGCGCAACAAGCTGGCCATGCTGACTGGCATCCTACTGGCCAATGGCAACATATCAGCCTCCATCCTGAACAGCCTCTTCAACGAGAACCTTGTCAAAGAGGGTGAGGACAAGACTGGAAATGAGTTTCTCTTTAGGTTGTCTCAAAATGTCAATTCTTGGTTCATAGGGGCAAAAGTTCCAAGGGTTTTGTTGCAAAGCGTTTGCAACAGAGACCCAACTTGTCTTGTTGTCCCTGTCCAGGAGTCTCTGCAGCCTTTGCTGTCAAGCTGTTCAAGTCATGGATCAACGAAAAGGACATCAATTCTGTTGCTGGCAGTCTCCGCAAAGTTGGCATGGACAACAGACTGATGGTAAATGACCCTTCTAATCTGAGATTACCAGAGAAATCAACCTTTGTAGATTGTTTCAGATCCTCCTGGTCATGTACAGGTTGTCACATCTGTTTGTTCATAGTCATTGCAGATTTTATCACGTTCTTTGTCTGACTTGTTTGTATAAAAATTTGAAAATATCTCTGCCCTACAGGAGCTCTTTCCTGCCAATAAACGAAGCTGCGAGCATTTTTCTAAGTACTTCACCGACGCTGGGCTGAAGGAGCTGTCAGACTTTGCCCGCAACCAGCAATCCATCGGTGCCCGGAAGGAGCTGCAGAAGGAGCTCCAGGAGCAGATGTCCCGCGGCGACCCTCAGAAGGAGGTGAGGTTCCTGTAGGAGTGGGGTTAACAACTTCCAGTTACTCTGGTATCAGAAATTAAGACCAGGGCTTCGCTGCTGTAACACCAGCAGCTCTGCTGCAAGACAATGACAAGTTCGGTGTAAAAATTCTTGTCTGTATTTAAATTCTGGTATATCTAGACTTTAGTCGTCATCAGTACTTGGTGTTGGGTGCATATACATTATACATACATTTGCAACAAAGTAAAAATAGCTAATATTCTATAATAAACATTATGGTAGCACAAAATTTTGTGAAGTAGCCCATAGTTTGCTGAAACTGATTGAGTTGTGTCTGATTCAATGATCCTGTTAAACATCTTTCAGTTATTGCAGGTGCTGTAAATGTCATCCTTGTTCCTGCTACGAGTTTTTCTGTAGCCTCATATTTGACACTTCCCTCTTTGCCATCTCGCATAATTTGCTTGACTCATGCACCAGCAGTTCAGGCAGTAACTGCTGAGCAGCACAATGAGCCACGAAGCTGAATACAAATTAGCAGTTTGTTGGTGTTAATGGAGGCCTGACATTAAGTGTTCTGAGTCGCTGCTCAAACTGCCACTGCACCCTTTGGAAACAAAGTGGTGTGCCCAACATGCAGTACTGATACCAAGTCCCGAGAGGCTGGAAATGAATGAAATCGTCTCCATTTTCTTCACTGCTGTGAGCTGCTGTTGCTCAACCAGAATTATGGAAGTCTTGGGTTTGAATGCGGACGGGTGATGAAGATGAAAAGTTTGGCCATGTCTTCACATGGGCAAACTTGATGTTTCCTTTAGTGTAACTGATGTTTAGTGATTAATATGAAAGTAACCTAGCAGTGTTTGTCTGCCTCCAGATTATCGCCTTCACTAGGGAGGAAATGAAAAAGGCCAGTCTGTCTGAGCAGGCCATGATCGGCATCATCTGGACCAGCGTGATGAGCTGCGTGGAGTGGAACAAAAAGGAAGAGCTGGTGACCGAACAAGCCATCAAACACTTGAAGGTAAGCAAATGAGATGTCCTCCATGTCATTCAGATGTGTTGAATCAAGTCAAATAAAGCACTTAAATGGTTTAATCTATCAGTTGCTGTTAAGAGAAAATATGCTGGCCCTGTTGATTCTCAGGAACTAGGCAATAAATTGTGAACCCTGCCAGAGTGACTGCAGGTTCTTGCAAGTCTGAAAAGGGTTATGTTTTGTAAGGGATGTGTTCACTCTTATAGGTCTGTTCTCCAATAACCTTGCCATTCATTTAAAAGGGTGAAAATGAGTTTTACGTCTGTGGAACTTTCAGAAATCTTGAAGCTTTGTTTAGTTGTAGTGATCCTGAAATATTGATACTTCCAGGCCTAATGTTACCTGTTCTAGGATCAGTTCACATAGTAAAAGATCGATATCCAAACTGAGTTATTTGGAGCAGCCTAAATGTATGTCTTATCAACAACAGGGGACACAGTAGAAAGTAACTACAGTATCACCAGGTCAGTCTAAATAATACGTCATTGATAGGAACTATGGCACTGTAAGTGTGTTAGCCACTGAGCAAAGCTTTGTAACAGTTGCTAGAGATTGTACAGGTTCTAGCTTGTAATTATCTGGAGTGGTAATGTCACACTTGTTTGCTGGGAGGAGGAATGTAAACAGCAACCAAGATGGCATGTGAAAGCTTCCTGGGTATGTAGCGTGGACATTGTTCCACAGATGCAGTTTAAAATCTTGGCACAGAAATGTCCCTTCAAGGCAGTGTGACCATGTTGGCACCATTTGTTAATAAAAGTGGAAAGTCTTTATAAATATGCCTTATTTTCCCTCCATTGGTCTCTGTTGTGGGGACCCACCTCTTTTTCTTGGTCGTGTTTTGTAAAAGATTTTGGAATCTGCGATACCAGCCTGGGTTTTACTTGGGACCGGAAAGGAAATAAATGGTCTTGCACATTACTATTTAGCAGGAATAAAAGCACATTAACAGCAGGGGGTTAGTTTTTTTCTATTATATGGAAAAAAATGTAACCTCAAATGGATTATTTTGGCAGATGAGATTTAATATTGTTGCATATTTTTTGTCGACATGCCATTGCATGACATTTTGCCAATAATCTGTTAAATGTTAAATGATTAGTTGGAGGAAAGAAATACAGTTGCTGACATTGTGAGCCACTGGTTTTAAAACTCTGGTTTGAAGAAGTAGATGTCTTGTTGCTCAAGTAGAATTTGTTTATGTGATGATGGTCATGGTGTGAACCTGCTACAAATAGGAACAAGAGCCTCTCTAAAATAAAAGGCTGAAGACATTCAGCTGCTGTTGCTTTAATTAAAATCTTGATCAAGTTGTAAATCAATGTGCTTTAATGCACCAGCAGCTTTTACTGCAAAGCTGGCTGAGTGCGTTTCCATCTCTGCTTCAGACAGGAGAGCTTTTTTCCTCTCGTCAATTTTTTGTTTCATTCTTGCAGCAATATAGCCCTCTGCTGAAAGCCTTCACCTCCCAGGGTCTGTCTGAACTCAGCCTGCTCCTGAAGATCCAGGAGTATTGCTATGACAACATCCACTTCATGAAGGCCTTTCAGAAGATCGTGGTGCTCCTCTACAAAGGTTGGTGTCGCATCCACAGGACCATTCACCCACATCGATGCCAAACAGTCCACTGACTTGTCCTTTCCTCCTCACAGCGGATGTATTGAGTGAAGAGGCCATACTGAAGTGGTACACTGAAACCCACGTCGCCAAGGGGAAGAGTGTTTTCCTCGAGCAGATGAAAAAATTTGTCGAGTGGCTGAAGAATGCAGAGGAAGGTAAAGGAAAAATAAAAAAACCAACTCACCCCTCCACCCTTGGGCAATAAACTTTTTTTTTTTACAATGAATATTTTTGGCTTGTCATAGCAAGAAAATCAGTTAGAAAAAATAATTCCTCACAGCTTTTAACTGTCACCGAGCAAGTATACACATGATGAGGATGATGAAATGCACCTTTCATTAGTCAGACTGGTGTTTTACAAGTCAGTCTGCACAGACATGACCTCTGCCATGAACCTGGAGGACTGTTGCACACTGAAGAAGATTTAACAGAGCATTTCAGATTGACTGAACTTTTAATTCTAAGCATTATTTCCTTCTCTCCCTAGAGTCGGAATCAGACGAAGAGGAGGCGGACTAAGACCTCCTTTGCCACATGAGCTGTTTTCTTTCTTTTCTAAGTAGCAGCAGGAGCAGTAGAGTATCACCTTCTTTTCTCTCTTCTACCTCCTGTTACTTTAACCCCAAACACAGATGCGCACCCTTCCACCACTCAGAGCATTTAAATGTTATTTAAGCAAAATCAGGAAGGGCTCAGTCCTTGTCAACATAAATGTCACAGTGAAAGAGGCAAACGATGAATTGTTCTTTTTGGTATCACTGTTGTAATTCCTTGTGTAATTTGGGTACAAAACATTCCATGTGATCTTGATGGCCTCTGCTTGTACAAATCCGAGCCAGAATTTGGTTAAAATTGGAGTTTGCCCCTTTTTTTGTCATGTGACAATGAGGCCGACAAAAACATCAATGCAGTTTTGCCAAAGTTTTATTTATTTTTTTCTCCTTTCTCTTCCCTTTGACTTTATATTCACCCAGCTCATGTTTGGCTCCCATTTGGTCTTAAACTTTGCCTTCTTTCTCAACTTTGGGATAAACCTGTACCGCGTGTCACGACCTCCGTGGTCGGTCTGTCAGAAGACGCGCCCCCTGTAACATGCCTCGCCAGCTCACCGATTATTGGTTTCTACTTTCTTTAATCTGATAAAAAACCAATTGACTTTTTTATGAAATAAAGATTATTGAAATGGTTAAACTGTGGTCTCTTGCTTTTGTTAAAATAGCCCAGATGTATTTGCGCCTGACTTGTAAGTGATTAATATTTGGAGCTCCATTAAAAGCTGATAAAGCTCATGAAACCAGATTGTCATCTTCCTTTGTATTCCCTGTCCCTCCTGGGGGAAAATCTGTACCGGTAGTTGTATTTAGAACTTTCCTGTTTCGTACTTCGTTAGCCTCATTTTAGCACCTTAAAGCCTCCTAAAGGTATTACATCTTGTTGCACATTATGAGAACCTGTATTGTAGGAGCCATGTAGAACATTTGGGTTTGTGTAACCTCGGGAAAAATAGTACAGCTACCAGAAAGACTTGAGTTGTGTTGCAGTCGCACTCTTTGACTTGACAAATGACATTTTTGAGCATTTGCAGAGGGTGAAGACAAGTCTGACGTTCTCATTTTTATTGTACAAAAATACATTTATCTTTAAGTAGCTTCTCAGTGTTGGCGATGTGCAAAGTACACTGTCAGGTATTTTTCAAGTACATTTTTTACAGTCTTATTACACACTAGATTTAGAGGTAGGCCTTCATATTTAAAACAGGGTTTGAGGTAGTGTGCAACGTCTCTCATTGCATTTTCATCTGCATTTGCTGTATCATATGAAATGATCCAGTTGATTGTAAAATAAATCATTTTTATATTTTTCCAAATAAATGCAAAAGGCAACCTAATGCACTTTGTTAGTGTCCCACATTCATGTGCACACAAAATGCCAGTTTTCTTTTAAAGAATACAGAAATTGTGCAACAACGCAAAAGTAAACGGTTGATAATACTGCAGTACATTCAGTATATTCCTCTGAACATTTCATCTTGAATCAAAATCTTCAGATTAGGAACAAATATTTGTGAGAGCAGCTTTAGGTCTCGAGGGCACTGGTGAAGCCAGTTTGAAATCCCTGATAAGAGATTTCCACCATTAAAGCAGCAGCAACTGGGACTCCATTTAATACATAAAGAAATCTCAGGTTCAGATTTATGCCATCAAACCCAATCAAATGATCCTGATTCCAAGAATTCTTTTTTTTTTTGTCATTAGAGTTTGTCTCCCTATGTGAAATTTATTGACATGGCAAACAGGCATTTTTGTGTTGTCATCTCCCTAGAAACTTAAAACCACAAAGCAGATAAAATACTTACCAGCCTACCAGTCGGAGTATTGTGAAGTATGTGCTGCCATACGATTTTACCCTTTTCAAGAGTAACATACTAACATGAAGCTTATTTGTTTTTGCAGGATGTGTAAGTGATGTAAGGTCATGTCAGATGAGGTGCCAAAACCAATGCTGTCAGGTAGGCCTACCACTGGAAATTCATGCAGTGACAGTCAGTAATTGGTACATAACTAGTGAAATGCACTAGGGCCTCTGGGTTCAACATTATCTCTGTATATCCTCTGCTTGTTTGTTCAGTTGTTAAAGGTATTTTCAGAAGGAGTGTAAAGCTTTATTGTCCTCCAGTTTCTCTCCTCTCAATGGCTCTGTATGTTTATGAAGTAGATTCCTTGTGTTGGCTAACACCACACAGGGCAAATTTGCTTGTAATTTGGGCTTTTCGTGGATGTTAGTCATCTAAAGGTTTCATTGCTTTTTGTTTAACGATTTACCATACAAAAAACAGTTAAATGTAACAGTGTGCATCATAGACTGCATATAAAGATGGATGATGTGATGGCACCCAGAAGTCGAAGCCATTACAAGTTGATGCCCCCTAAACCCCGCCCCCTCTGTGTTAGCGGATGGACCAAACTAAAAATTCATCCATCTATCCATTTTCTTCCGCTTATCTAGGACCAGGTCGCGGGGGCAGCAGTCTAAGCAAAAAATTCAATTCGGTACAAATCAGATACATGTATCTCAAAGGAAATTTGTGTCATTTCCAGCAGATATTATCATGCTTATTTATATATGTGGTCATTTTTTGATAAGTTAGTTGATGATAAAAAGCGGTGCATTTTGGATGATTTGACAGCTCTGATCGGCGCCCAGATACCGTGGCTCCACCTCTGGTTGCTACTGCTCAGAATCTGGTTGCAGATTGTGGCACAAAAGCAAGATGGCCGCCCCCGTATTTTCACTATTTTGGCCTGTAGGAAGTGGTCACGTTGTACATTTTTATATATAGCCTATGATGTAGATTGACCAAAAACTCTAATTTGTAGTATGAAAAAAGTGCAATCCCTTGTTGAAGGGTATGAAAGACTATAAAAATTTGTCTTTCCAAACTGCCCTGAGACATAGATAGATGTTTTAACAGGCAGAGAGCAAGACTGATCATAGTTCCTACTTTTCACCACTAGAAGTCATAGATCAATAACAGCCCTTTAAAGTAGCCCTGCACAATAGTGAAATTTCTGACAACACTTGAAGGCAACATTAATGCCTCTCAACTGACAGCAACCCCTGCAGTGTCTGCTCTTCAGTTTCCTTCATGTGACTTAAGGCACAAGGCTGTTTTTGTAGGAGTTGGATATATGGGGTGGGGGGTTGGAAGTTGGTACTATTAGCGGGACCAAAATAGGCCCCCCGTCAGGTGCAACTTTACACATCGGCTGAGGTTACAGCAAAACCAAAACAGAGGTTCAGAAGCACATGAACATGAACAGAAAGTGCTCTTCAGTGCTAATTCTGTCTTTTGTGTTTTAGTCTAGTCCAACAATAAATATATATGTACAAAGTCCTACATGTGTCGACATGTAAACAGCATCAAGGTGGACTCCTCGTCTGTCTGGAGCCGCTTCACACAGCAGCTGACTGTTTCCCTCCTTCTCTGAGCTGTGGAGGTAAAGAAATTGTCAAATATAGTTCAGTGAGAGCACCGCAACGTGTACACAAACAAATAGGAATCAGTGTAATCATGCATAAATATCTATTTTACCAAGTTAATGTAATTTTCAGTCTCCAAATCTCAGTCAGGCGTCTGCTTATTTTCATGTTCACATGTTATTTGAAATTCATTTCTTTTTAGTTTCATTTTTCCAGGAACACATTTATAATCTTAACATGTTAAAATAGGTCAGATTAAACAAATCACAGCCAAAAAATGATGATTTTTATAAATTGATGAAGTGAATTTCTGTGGCCAACCAGCTAAATAATTGTAATTTTGAACTCATCTTTAAGAAAAGGAAACAGACTCACTAAATTATGTAACAGATTATGTTGGGGCAGAGCACTGAGAAAAAACATTGGTCTGCTGTTTTGTGACTAAAAAAACAAATGTACATTTAAATTAGTTGTGACATACAGTATTACTGGTCAGCAAGGTGTCCTGCAAACCACTGTCAGCTACTGTAAACATTTACACTTCACTATTACAGGTGATTATTTAGGATACATTCATTTAGCATTAATATCATTTACATTTTGAATATATTTGCCTTTAGCCTGCTGATTTTAGTTTGGTTTCATCCATTTTGGAACCTAATGTTTAAACTCCAAAATCCCCAAACTTTAAATCAATAAAAATAAAAGAAATGAACTGGTTACCAATAAGTCATCGTTAAACAGCTCATCATTGCTAAACAGTGTCCAGCTCTCAGACAGACTGGCGTCATATGTCGGTGTGCCAGAGCTCAGGCTACACAAAACCGTTCTCTTTTAGGACACAACACTGAAATCTGATCTGTAGACGCGTGTCTCTGTTTTGCATTTGCCGTGGTTCAAATCGTGTAAATGGTCACTCACCAGTTTCCTCTGATTGCTGAGGCAGAACGTGCAGATGGGCCGCAGGGAGGGCGCGCTGAGCGCGGTGCGCCCGTGCAGGATGCTCTGGTAGCGGACGCAGGGCTGTCCGTCCCGGCAGTCCTCCCCCAGCAGCAGCACGTTAGCCAGGTGGGAGATGTAGCTGGAGGCCAGGCGCAGCGTCTCTATCTTGGACAGCTTTCTGTCGGCCGGCTCGGTGGGAATGAGCGTGCGGAGCGCCGTGAAGGCCGTGTTCACGCTGTGCGTCCTGTCCCTTTCCCCTCTGCTTGTTTATCCCGGACAGACGCGCGTCTCCGCCGCCTCTTCCACATCCGCCGCTGCTCTTTCTCCGCCTTCTTCTCCGCCTCGTCGTACCGACAAGAGAACCACCACCACCCGCTGCCTCCTCCTCTGCAGCCTCCCCTGATTCTCTGCGCGGACTGCAGCCGCCGGTGGACTTTACGCCGGAGCTTGCGCTGCCGCTGTCCAGGTCGTCCACGTCGGAGGTGAAAGCTTCGGGCTGCGCGGTGCTGCCCGTGGACTTCATCCTGGCTCTGGTCTGGTCTGGCTGGAGCTGCTGGGGCCGTGCGGGCGGGCCGCGGCTGTACATCACTTTATCCTGAGGGTGAAAATAGCACCGGGAGCCGAGCAGCTGCCGCCGATCCGGTGACCTGGGGGTCTGCGCTGTCCGCCCCCCCGGCGGATCAGCATACCATTTCTAATGAATGACGGCTGCTTTCTGGGCCGCCAGCTCGCCGCGGAAAAGGGAAGACAGGTGGAGCATAAAGGGAGGGCAGGAGAGGGCACCTGTTGTGGTCTGGATGATACAGGTTTAAATTAGGCTCGACCGATATGGGGCCCCCCAGGCCGATACTGGCGATTTCACACGCAAACTTATGGTAGCCCGTTTGACAGAATAGCCTATACACAGTGATTGTCTTTTTGAAAAGGAATAGAATATTCTAAAATATACTGGTCGAAAAATCACAGAGGAATAATGTTCATGTCTATATAATGGTGTCAGTTTCAGTTTGCTGTAAACTAGCTATGCACAGAAAAGTGAAAAATCTTGCCAGTATAGCAAAAACGCAGCAAGTATTTATTTGAAACTCTCCACCCTGTGAAGAAAACTGTGTCCTGTCTTAGTCCCTGTCCTAAGTCAACAATACAGATGCCTCGGTGTGAAAACACCCGCAGAGCATGAGTTCTGTTTTATGTTGTGCCATAAATTAAGGCCCCAGTATGCTCCACGAGTACAGACGCAGGCAGCAGGGTGAACAGTTAGTGAATGCACTTCTGCGTCTGTGTAGTGGACACAAAATGCAATTTACACATCACACACACATCACATATGTCACCTTGTCTATATGAACACAGAAAGTATAATTGGAGGTTTGGGATCCCAGAGCTGTTGAGTTAAAATGGGACTGAGAGGCCAGGTATGAGTCATTCTTTAGAAGCAGCAGCCATGCAAGAAGCAAATCCAGCCGTGAAGCATTTTGTAGAGCTTCAATGAAAGGTTGTAGTTTTGAAAACAGATTCAGAGTGAAAACAGTCGAGCGTCACATCTTCCTCTTTGATTATGTGTTTGGAAACCTCGACTTTCCTCAGCAGTGCCTTTTTTTCTTTAATCCAGATGAAATCATTTGTCACTGATTTGAAGTTGTCCCTCTCAAACTTAACTCTCTCAAACTTTGCTGGTGAGCTTGAACTGGGCTACTAATAACCAGTGTGTATGTTTGTGCGTGTGTCCCGCCTGTTGGCATCCAGGGCGGAGGATAAACTTTGCTGCCTTGGCCCGCGGCTCTGAGCTTCCGCTGAGTGAACAGTCCAGGTGTAGCTGCCCATCCCTTCCTGTTCTGTCTGTGTCCATCATGATGGACACGTACAGCCCTCCCCTCCTCCTCCACCTTGCCCAGTGCCATCTTTGGGTGTGGATATAAATATCAGTGAATGGATGATGCCTTGTGTGTGTTGCTGTGACAGCTCGGAGCAACCTTCAGGCCAGGTCGTCAATTCTGTTCAAATCACAACAGAAAGATGAAATGATTTTCATTAATTTAATGGTAATTTTGATTTTTACTCATCTGTTTAAAAACAGCCTTATCAGCGAAATGTGGATTTAGTCAACAGTTCATGCCTTCAGTTGGCAGTTTTATCTGCACGTCTGTGCTGTTTTTTTATTCCTGACATTATTATTATTATTGGCACCAGAGGGCCGTAAACCACTAATGATCATTTCTACAACCTTTTAGTTTGTTTGGTTGTTGTTGCTTTGTTCTAAAATACTGATGATTTGTCTAGTCTTTTTTCCAGCCAGTAAACAACTTAAAAGATGCACAGTTCTTTGGGTTCAGATGTCACCATGCTGCAGTATGATACCTGCAACATGAGGTCAAGATGGTTTAGGACAGATGTTGCAGAGACACCCTTCTTGATGTGCAAGAAACCAACTACAGACACATAGGGGGACAAGAGCAGTAGAAACAAATATAAACAGAGCCAAGCTTCATCCTAATCACTTATAGCAAGCCAAAGAGCTTTTCAGCTAAAACAATAAACCCCATTCTCTGAGCCAAATCTAATTTGTCGAATAAATCACTCTTTGAGCAAAACCTTAAACAAGTTCAGGCACTTAGACTCTGTTAGCAAATCTCATGCACTCTTTTTGCTAAACTCTAAACACATTCTCACTAAAACACAATTCACACTGTGATGAACCTGTGTTGCAAAACACTAAAGAGAGGACAGCAGAACTTAAACACAACTAAAGCACAGTTGTCATCGTTTACACACAACGATTCAAAATTGTTCACTCTTGTTTCTAAATATGTGATGAGTGGGTACAAAATATAAGCCAGTTCAAAGTGCACAGATGGCATGGGTACATCCCTCAACTATGGATAACAATATGAGAGGTAGAGGAATATGAGGTGTTGGACAAAAAGGACGAGGAAGAGTAAGACCTCCCACCATACAGCACTGCCCTCAACCCAACAGAAAAGTTTTGCTCTGCATGGCGGTGGAAAATATGTCAGAATCTCTGTGAAAATCTCTTACAGGCAATGGAACTGGCCTGT